TTTACTCGAGTAAGTGATCCTATATACTCGAATAAATGTTGATAATTTTGGTCAAACAATGACAAATTGATATATAGTTTAAAAATAGGGGGCAAATTGATAAATTTTTATAAATAAAGGAAAAATGGTTAATAAGTTCGATTTTAATTATTCTAAGTATGGCGTAAGATTAAAAATTGAGTTATATATTATTTTAAAAAATATTACGATTTTTTCATAAAATATGTAGAATTTGGAAAAAAGAGTTTTCTTTTTATCTCAAAAGATAAACTTATTTCCTATAACAACAAAATGACATTATTTTTGGGTATAAAGAAAAAAAATACAGGGCATTTTTTAGAATTTTTCTAAAACGGCCTTCATTTTTCTTTAACCCAAAAAGTGACATAATTTTGAGATTAGAGAAAATCTATTGTGATAAGAGAAATACTAAATCCTTAGAATTTTTATTTTATTAAATTAATATTGTAAGTGATACTTTTCTATTTTTTTTCACATTCTCCACTATATTCGAAAGAAGAAAATGGAAATTACTAAAAAAAAGATGAAAATTGAAATATTTAATTATTTATTTATTTTTGAGTTGACGGGAAGGGAATGAGGAAGCCCTTTGTTTGTTGAAAACAAGTAGAGTCATAAATTTCACTATATGATAGTTATTTTAAATGCGAGGACGAGCTTGAAATATCTCTATATATATATGTGTGTGTGTAAGAACCAGATAGTTTCAGTGCGAAATTAGTGCATGGAACCTTTTCTGACTTTTTGACCCTTTTGCCCTTCATTAATTAAAAAATAACTATTTTGCCTCTCACCAATCCACCCGTCTGCCCCTGTTTAATCGATTAAACCACAACCTTAATCGATTAAATAATCAAAATATTCCAAAAATGTTGAGCCCGTGGTTTAATCGATTAAGCAGCAGTTGTTTAATTGATTAAGCAACGTCATAAACACTATATCTACATGTCTCGGTCTCATTTCACTTATACGGTTATACCCATTTTTTACACCAAAATTTCTCTCATTTCTCATCTCTAATCCAACCCATTAAGAGGCTATTTCATCCCACAATCTCTAAAGCCTTAATCTTATAAAATAATTGTCATTACACTTACATATTCCATTTATTTTGGTAAAATTTGAGCCCACACCAAAAAATCTGAACCCTAGTTCCAATTTCGTGTGAAAGATGAGCTAAAGTTCAAACATATATGTTACCTTTATCTACCACAATGGGAGGCATTTTGAATGTCCCAACGACGTCCAATTTGAAGGAGAAATGCAAGTGATGAAAATCAAATGGAGCACTACATACAATGAGCTAAAGGAGAAAATTCATCAAAAATTGGGGTTACAAGGCAGCCAATGCATTCATCAGTTGATAGCCAGGGTAGAGACTATAGTTGGTAATGATTCTGTATATTACATTTGTAACAATATATGTAATGATGAAGATGTGGAGTATGTCTTATATGCATTTGGTAACCGAAAATTTCAAAATTTTATTGAGATATATGTTGAAGTTGATTGTGGTCAATCTTCATCTGCACCCATGCATACAAGAAGTCCACAATATTTTGGTCAAGAAGACAGAGTTGTTGGTTTATTTGCACCTGCACAAGGGCTAAGTCAGATAACATTGAGGGAATGAGAGGAGGAGGAGGATTTGGAGAGTGGTGAGGAGAAGCTGATAGTGTTATTCCACTAGGTGAACCTCAGATACTGACGTGGAGGGTGATTTTGACGTTAGCAAGAACCCAGTAAACCTGAGTTTCCTGATTATTCCACCACTTCATGTTGACCCAGTTAGCAGTGGTAAGTTAGTAAATTAAAGTTTTTATTTAACATTTCATATTTGTGTTGTTACTGGTATTGACAAAAATGTAATGATTTAGACGAAGGGCCTGAGATTGAGCCATTTTGGAACGAAAGCCCTCACCATAACCTCTGAATAGGGACACAACATCTCAGCTAACACCCTCAGATGTGCCCCATCCAACACCGCCACTATGTCAAATCTCTCCCTCATAAAGAATGTCGTATCAAATGATTTCGGCTGACAAATGGGTCTGTTCACAAGATCTTGCATAAATGCAGCATGCTCCGAGGGATCATCTTCAAAACAAATACCCAAATAGGAGGTCCTCATGTGGCCCTGAAAAAGAAGGACGATCCTGCTGTTGCTTCGTCTATCTTTTGCCATTGGTGTTCCTTGATCGTCTGCGAGCAGCCATTGCAACAACGGAAACCTATACTAACACATAATAATTTATCAACAAACAATAAACGAACATAATCAAAAAATCAAAAATCAAAAATCAAAACCCACAATTTTGTCCAAGAAAATAATAATACAAAAACTATGAAACCTAAACCCTAAATCAAAGAACATTCATCGAAACCCTAGACTAAACAACTATTAAAGCAAAGAATAAAAGCAAACATCATGCCAATCGAACCAAAGCTCTACCTATTCGGTCTGCACGACATAAATCCGAAAAATAACAAGAAAAAAAATGCAAATTGAAGCAAACATACAATGCAAGATAAAGAAACGAATCGGAGACATTGTCTTCTAAATCCACCACACAATTGGACGAAGATTTTGGGAAAAATCATGAGTTGGGCTTAGGGTTTGCAGGGTTAATCGATTAGGGTTCGAATATAACCCCGTGCCAAATATAAAAAAAAATCCATCTGGCGTGGTTTAATTGATTACATAAAGGTCTTAATCGATTAAATAACAGGGGTTTAAAAAATGTTCCTGGCGTTATTTAATCAATTACGAAGAAGCGTCTTAATTGATTAAACCACGAGGTAAACATTTATGTCATAATTTGACTGTTTAATCGATTAAGACAATTTTTTAATCGATTAAGCAGGGGCAGGTTGATAGATTATTTTGGGTGAAGGAAAAAATAATTATTTTTTAATTAACGAAGGACAAAAAAAGTAAAATGCCAACCTTTTCTATTATGTCCTCCTTTTCAAGTCACTTAGGGCTTGTTTGAGAGTTAGTTTTAGGAAAAAAATGAAAGGAAGGGAAGAATTTTATTAATTTATTTCCTTGTTTGTGAGTTTAAAAAAAGAAGAAAGGAAGAATTTAGGGATTTTCACAAAACTCTTTTTATTCTTAAAATTAAAATTTCTCCAATTTAGAAGGTTTTAACTCCCAAATAAATAAAAAAATATCCATCTTTTTCTTCCTTCTCCTTAGAATTCTTTTCCTTTCCATCTCCTTTAAACTTTGAAACAAAGCCTTTACGAAGCCTTTACGATAAAGATAACCTAATATGTTAATTAGAAAGCCTTTACGATAAAGATAACCCAATATGTTAATTAGAAAGCATACCAATTTTAATCTTAAACTAATTGAACATTTGGCATTGCACTGAAAGATAGTATTGAGCTGTCAAATCTCACAGTAATCAAGTTACCCCACGCAACCACTCACTAAACCCATCGAATCAGTACGGTACATAGGTCTCGTGATATGCTTCCAAAAGGTAAGGCCACGAATAACTTTATTCATTAAAACTATGGTTCACACTTACTCATTTCGCATTATACTTTCCTGCGAATTATATATACCTAGAGAAACAGACAGAATATAGAGCATGTGCATATCAGTAACACCCACAAAGATCCTGTAGACAGAGGTACATCAAAATCAAAATTTTTGTTAAGATATTCAAGTGTTATAAGTTTCATATTAATTGATAATGAGCTAAATGAAGTGAATATAAGTGAATAGATTCATGAATCCAATGTCTTAAAATTTTAGGTTGAGATGTGTTGAACCTACATGATATATTTGATCTATTTGATTGGGCTCGAGTTAATCTAAATATTAACTAGGAGGATGATTGATTACTTGATTCTTGGAGTACTTAATTGAGGGGTAGCGTATTTATATTAGATTTCACACTTTTATCCTTGATCACGCCAAAAGTTCAATCCTTATCCAATCCAGAGACACCAAACATGAACTGCTTCCATCATATGAAATTTCAACGTCATTTCTAAACTTTAAGATATACCAAAAATGTTCATACATTATAATTTTTACGTATTTCCTTTTATTTTTTTTTATTCTGTAAAGAAAAGGCAGATAAAAGAAAAAGTTGAATTAATCTCTCTTTCTTTAGTACAATGAAAAGCTGCAAAGTAAGAAATACAATAACAATCTTATTTACAGTTCACAATTTGTAATATCTTCCTTTACACATTTCTTTTAACATTGGCATATATAAATCAAATTTCATGTACCATTTTGCACCTATTAGGGTATAATTTTTGTATTAATAACAAATATATATATATATATATATATATATAAAATATTAATTTATGGATGTCTTGAATTTTGAATTTGAATTTTGTAACGGTTGGTACTAAGAATTAATGCAATCTCTTTTATTTGTAATTTCATAATTATCATATTAATAAAGCATTAACTGCCTCATTTATGGTTATAATAATCTTGTATATGGACATTACTGAAAAATTGGATGATGAGAATTAAAAATTCACTGTATTCCCTTTTTATTTTATTTTGTAAGACATTTTGCCCTCTTTTCTTTTTCTTTATTTCATAACAATTAACAGAAATATTAATTAATTACCAAATATTTATACCGTGTTACATATAGTTTAACAGTAGTAATCAAATAATAACGTATAAGAATTATATTTTTTTTCATTTTATATAAAAAAGAGAGTAGGGAAAAATAAGAGACGATAACATTTATAGCTAGCGTAGACATGAATATATTATTGAAGATATAAAGTGTGTCGGTTTCCACTCAAAGGATAAACAAACACGTACATGAGAATTATTACATCATGCATGCAGCCACTCGTGTTTATTTCATAGTCACAAAAGCAAAGCACATAAATGCCTTAAAAGGGCAGAAAAAAGGAAGTGATTGATGACAACCTTTTTCTTTCATTATTGTGCACGACTGCATGTACTTACGTTATACCTTTCAATCAGTTTAAGGGGTCCAGTGGGGTGCAGCTGGGCTAAAATAAACGGAAACCACCCTAGAGTCTAGTAGTTCCGTTATGGGAGTGAAAGTCACACACCTCGGCACTTTGTATTGGTTAATGGACGCGCCTCGTGAGATAGCGTAATCCATAAGCTCTTCAAACGTCCCATTCTCCACCACTCGAATCTCCAACGGTCCAATAGAATTGTCCACAACTCTTCCATGTCTATAAAACGAGTTAAAGGACTCTTCCATGGCCAAGCAACACTGTGTGAGCACTTCATCTGAGGGTGGGTTCGACGAGTCCTTCACCAACAGTTCCCAGTAAATCACGTAATGTCCCGGTATTGATTTAGTGTCAGCGAAACTCGTGTACTCCACGACGCTGGTGTTGAAATCCATTAACAGGATTGAGGCATTTTCTATTGCTCTTTGAAGCTCTTCCTCGTCTACCTTGTCCGCATCAATGTTCAACAACACGTTCTTTCGCCTCACGAATCGAAATTGCGGTGCTGAGTTGTGGAAACCGGTTACTTGTAAAATATCACCCACACGGTAACGGCATAGACCGGCGTATACGGTAACAACCAGCTCGTAGTATTTTCCAACTTCAACGTCGACTAGGTCCACTAAGTCACGTGATTGAGTCAAACTCGGAGACGAGTCATCGTGGGGTAAGAACTCGAAGTAACCCATGTTTGGTAAAATGGTGTAAGAAACCTCATTGGGCTTGCAAATGGGCTTAAGGTTGAGCCCAAAATAACACTCAGATGATGCGTACATGGTACTAGCAAGAGGTAGCCCACCGCTGTAATAATCAAGGGTTGGAATATACTGTGCCATAGTACCGGTTACAATCACATCCAGGTACTTTGTGTTGGGCCAAATTCTAGTGATTATACGTTCCCAGTTTTCCCCTGAACATTCTTTTGAAATTAAACCCGCTAGCTCCGGGTCGGGTTTCAAGATTTTGGACATGCCTTCCTTGATGGAAGGGTCTGTGATCTTTGGGTTTAGGGTTCCAGTGGAGATGTCATGGGTTAATTGTTGCCAATTAAGCTGAAGGAAACGGATTGCTCTGAGAAGACCAGAGGCAAAAATGGCTCCAATTCTGAGGACTTGAAGGCGCATGATGAGGCCACATAGCATTTGGGTATACATGCTTTGAAAGGCATCTTGGCAAAGGATAGCTTCGATTGGGCTTGTGTTTGCATTGTATGGGTCATTTTGTCTGATTTTAAAGTGGTGACTTTTGTAATAGCTTGTGAGCACTGCACGTGCCACTAACCCACCGGGAGTCTCGGTCTCTGCTCTAATGAACATGAAATTCAGAGCCTTTCCCTTGTCCAAATCAGGCACGTATCTGTGCAAGCATGTAAATGAATTAACAAATACAAAAGCAAAACGAATTCATTAGTGAATGGAACATTGATTAATATTAGGGTTTCGATTTTCTCATGTCGCAGAAGAAATTTTTTTCACATTTAATGTGGGGTCTATATCTATTAAAAAAATAAAAAAGTAAAAGAAAATATTGTCCAAAAATCGGAGGGTCACTAGTAGGATAAAACAACACTCCTACGATTTTTCTTTAATATTAAGGAAAATGATAGTCTCATGCTGCATAAGATACCTATCTCATGTTATAGACCAATAGAATTTTGTGCCAATTATTTATTTATTTTTAAATAATGGACCTCACATATTTGTATCACCCACATGAGAGTAGTATCTCATGTAACATTAAATTAGTAAACCATGACAAATTAACCAATAAATTAAGGAACAGAGAATGTACAGGCTCATCACTGGCATTAGAAGGCTGTAAAGTAATTGACGACGGTCCATCTCTTCATCAATGGTTGGCATCAATTTGCTTTCCCCAGCAGATGTTCCAGAACTGCAGGTATTTCACATTTTATGTTAAAATCATGTAAAATTATTTTATGAAGATAGATATAAATACAAGAATTGTATGTAATAAGATAACATATATGTACATGTCAAAATTATGAAATACTAAGAGAGAGGTGTACTTATGTGTGCGTACCTGGTGAGTAACTCAGATATCGGGTGAGCGCAGAAAATAGGAGAGCGATCACCGTTAGCAATGCGTTGGATATCAGGCTTCAAATCGTCGTAAGTAACGACAGGAACCTTGGACTTGAAAGTGTCACGGTCTGTGGCTCCATTGAGCTGAAACCGTTTCAGGTACTCTGTGTGAGCGTTTTGGCTCAGAATCTCGGCAAGGACCCTCTTTTGGATATTGTCAGCATTTCGGGTCACATCTTCAATGAACTGCAGAGCCTTTGTGTTCTTATCATGAGAAGCTGGGAGTGATGAAAACTCAGAACCAATGGCCATGATGAGTTCACAGAAATTTTAATAACAGCACAAGGAAGTGGTAGTTCAAGAAGTGGATGGATGGAAAGTTGTTGTCAAATTGGATGGGTATTCCGTATTTATAGTGTGCTGAAAGAATTTTGAGCCTTGTTACGGTGTACGTCATGGTTAGCGAGAGTTAACACTACTTTAGAAGGACGCTCGGGACATTGAGACAAAATAATTAATGTTTATTTTATTGTAGCTTCATCAAGGGACATGTGGGCCATGAAACAAGTGGGGATGAAGGCATTGTGGCCAACAGGTGGGGCCTGATATATCGCCATGTCAACAATATGAGCTTCTTTTGGGTACAGCGAAAATACCAACTCTTTTATCCAAAAAGAAAAAATATAAAATAAGAAAAAATTGGTATCATTTTAAAAGATATAAAGTTGTGTCATTTTAAGAGAGAGATAGATAAAGGAGGAGAGAGCTGACAAAAAAAAAATAAAGGTGTGGATCCCATCTCTTTGTGAAAATGAAAGGATATAAATCGTGTCATTTCAAAAAATAAACATTTTTCCCTATAAAATATGAGTGTAAATAATTATAAAGTGAGGATAGTATAAAATGTTAATTTTTTTATCATATTTGATAAATGATACAGTGAGTGTTCTATATAACGAGAGTATCAAATTAAAATATGTTACGACGATAGATTATACAAGCGTAGTCGTCACCCCCAGAGCAAAATAAGTTTTTACGAGTATGAAGAAATCTACCCTCAGCGCACATTCTCGTTCTTCTTATACCATGTGTTGAAACTTGAATTAAAGTTTTGGATTATCCTTGTACCAAAAAAGAAAAAATCATATCCTGAATTCACTTATTTGATGCATGTTTCATTTTGCTGAATTATATTTTATAAAACAGTATTTTTATACAAATTAAACTGTTTTAAAATCTAAAAATCAACATGTTTGGGTAAATACTTAAAAAGCTATGATTTATGACAGAAAGAAAACAAATGGATATCGGTCAGTAAATAATCAACATCTTTTTTGTCTTACTAATTTCACCATTAGAATGATTATTGTTAAAAACCCAATGGATATGATCGCAGTTATTAAAAGTGGTTATTTAAATTCCAAGGTCTAAAGGATCCTTCGACAAACATCTTTAGGGGTATTTGGTAGGAGGTGAAAAAAAATTTCCTAGGAAAATAGAGTAGGAAAAATTAGTTGTCTATCTTTGATAGGGGGTGAAGTAAATTTTTTTTCATCATTTGCTTTTTTATGTAAATTGATTGGGGAAGATTAACATTGAAGGGTGTAATTGTTTTTTTTCCTATGTGGTGGAAAAATTATCACACAACATCAATAAATTAACTCAACACTCCAGAAAAAGTTTTGACCTACCAAACACCTTTTAGTAACTTATCTAGGAAAAAAATTTCCCCCTATATTTTCTGAAATTATTTTTTCCCGATAAATTTTTTTTTCCTCTACCAAACACCCTGTAGAGAGACTTTTGGCCTTCATGGCATTAGGTGTTAGATGTAAAACCTTGTTTTTCTTAGGTACTGTTAGAGAATAATATAAACTACTAAAAAAGTCCCCACCTAACACCTTAATATTTTGGGTTGAAGTAGTTCTTTATATAGTATAAGAGCTTCAGTGATCACAAGGTCACAAGTTCAATCCTTACTGTCCCTCACTTGTGGAATTAAATAAGCATAAGATAAACCAAAAAGAAAACTGGCGCTCAAAAGAGAAAGGAAATAAAAAACTGAAGCTATATATACAATATTCACAAGACTCTTGGATGAAGGGTGTGTTACACAATAATATTCATTAAAAAGTCTCTCATCAAGTTTTAGATTGAAGTGGTTCTTTACAGGTACTATTGTTATTAATGAGCTATTAAATATATATTGATTATTGGTTCTCATCCTAACTATTTGGAGTTAATTAAGTATAATTGTAAAAATTATGGTATTAATATCCTATAAAAAGCTATATACCCAAAATATTCCACTAGCTATTCATTAGCACAACATGCATGCCTATCAATATGCCTTTTTTTAAAAAAAAAAAAATTGTCGATATAATATATATGAATAATAATAATGATAAGTTTTTGAAGCAAATTATTATTATATTCTGAGAAGTTGATAAATATTTAACAATGATTGTAACTGGAGAGTAATAAATATTTATAATTTGCTTAAATCTATCTTTAATTTAGTGACAAATTTTTTTTAAAAAAATAAAGAATTAATGGCTTTTCATTTTTTCATAATAAAAAAAAAATATTAGAAATAAAATATTAATATATAACTAAAGAGCAAGAAGTATACATTTATAACTTGTTATATTTATTTTAATTTTAAATGAGTATTTAATAATGATAATTTAAAAAGAGAGAAGGAGAGAAACAAACAGGAAAAGTTTAAGGAGCATCAAGTAGATGAAACTTTGTTAGGATTTTTTTAATCACACATAATTAGATAATAATTTGGTAAAATTATTTCTGCAGCCGCTTTACGTACAACAACGATATGTGTATGGTTATAATTTTTCACAATGCTTTCATTCTTTGTATGGTTAAGATTTCCCTCATTTAATACTTTCAAGCATATATATGATAAGTATTTAATTACTGCACGTACAGCAGCTGCAGAAATGTAAACTTATAATAATTTTTAAATGAATCTGTAAAATAAAATAAAAAACATTATTTAGGTCATACTTACGTACGGTAGAAAAGTATAGTGCTGCAGTTACCACTTATCAAGTTGATATGGCATAATAAGCATTATTAATTATTACTGCATTTTTAAATTGATTTGGTAAGGATTTTAAGTTTTGGTTTGATTCTTCGTGTCAGTGGTGACAATTTTATATCCAAAGGGTAGGTAATGGTTGAATCCTTTTTTCCGTCGTGACACTTGCGTTGTTATGACATTTTTTCTTCACCATATTGTGGTAACCATAAAATAATTTTGTTAGGGAACATTTGATGCAGAAGAGAATTTTTTTTTATTCTTGAAAATCATGATTTTCACGAATATGTTGAAAAAGTGGCTTTATTAGAGTATGTTTGGATCCTCTTATTTTTAAGCTAGAAGCTAGACTTTTTGACCCTTTTGTCCCTAATTAAATAATTAATAACCAATTTGCCCCTCTCCCAGAACTATCCACCATCCTGCCCCATTTAGTCGATTAAGTTGCACTTTTAATCGACTAAATGAGCTAAACTCAGAAATCATGAAACGCGAATTTTAGTCGACTAAAAACTCACCTTAATCGACTACATTGTTTGCACTTTTAGTCGACTAAGCACATTATTTAGTCGACTAAATATCGCGAAAAATCCTATATCAAGACCTCTCTTGGTCTCATTTTCATTATATTCGAATGTAAAACTCCTCCCTTGGTCTCTTTCTCTTGTTTGTCAGCTGTGTGTTGAGATATTCAAGTGTGATGAGTCCCACATTGGTTAGTAATGAGCTAAGTGAAGAGTATATAAGTGAAAGGACCCATGAACCCAATGCCTTAAGGTTTTGGGTTGAGACATGGTGTCGGATCCACTTGCTACGGTTGGTGTAGCCTTAGCTCATTGGTGGTGGCCCCCGCCACGGGCTTCTCCCTGGACCCGCTTGACATTGGAGTTTGAGGGAACGAATTTTCCCAACAGTGGTATCAAAGCCGGATTGGGCTCGAGCTAGCCTAGTGATTGGCTAGGAGGCGGGTCGAGTACTTTACGCTTCGGGTACTCGGTTGAGGGGGAGCATACCAATGGTGGGTTTCACACTTGAGGGGGAGATTGTTGAGATATTCAAGTGTGATGAGTCCCACATTGGTTAGTAATGAGCTAAGTGAAGAGTATATAAGTGAAAGGACCCATGAACCCAATGCCTTAAGGTTTTGGGTTGAGACATGGTGTTGGATCCACTTGCTACGGTTGGTGTAGCCTTAGCTCATTGGTGGTGGCCCCCGCCACGGGCTTCTCCCTGGACTCGCTTGACAAAACCCTAAAATCCGATTCCTACCCCCAAAATTCGTGTGAAAGATGAGCTCAAGTCCAAACATGTATGTTACCATGATTTACTATGATGGAAAGCATTATGAAGGCCCCAACGGTGTTCAATTTGAAGGAAAAACGAAAATGTTGAAAATCAAACGGGGCACTACGTACAATGAGCTGAAGGGGAGGATTCACCAAAAATTGGGGCTACACGGCAGCCATGGCGTTCAACGGATGATCGCCAGGGTAGAGTCTACAGTTGGTAAGGATGCTATATTCTACATTGGTAATGATATATGTGACGATGAAGATGTGGACTGTGTCATAGATGCAATTGTGGACCGAAAATTTCAAAACTTTATTGAGATATATGTTGAAATAGACTGTGGTCAATCTTCATCTGCACCTGTGCATGGAAGAAGTCAAAGTCAAGAAGACAGAGTGGTCGGTTTATCTGCACCTGCACCTGTCTTAAGTCAGATACCACTGAGGGAAATAGACGAGGATGAGGATGAGCATGACGAGGATATGGACAGTGAAGACGATGGTGAACCCGAGAGTGTTATTCCGCTGGGTGACACCTCAGATACGGACGTAGAGGGGAATTTTGACGCTGATACTAGTTCAGGAAACTTGAGTTCCCAGGTTATGCCACCGCTCCGTGTTGACCCTGTTAGCAGTGGTAAGATTGTAAATTAAAGTTTTAATTTTGCATATATATATATATATATATATATATATATATATATTGTGTTTTCTTTCGTACTGACGGATAAGTTTAAATTTGGACGTAGGTTCTGAGATTGAGCCATTTTGGAACGACAGCCCACACTATTCGTTCATTAATTGGGCTCACCCTAATGATGAGACGGAGATACTGTATGGCGACGATGACATCCACGGTGGCTGGCATTTAGGGGATCCATTATATTTGTACCAGGAGTTTCGAACTAAATCTGAAATGCAACATGCAGTCAAATTATATTGTATGAAGTCTCATCGTACTGCTG